GTTGATCTTGAAAAATATCCTAAATTCTCACAACCAACCAACCAACCAACCAACCAACCAATCAACCAACCCTACCTGGTTGTTTATCCATTAGTCCAGGCTTATTCCTTAATCCTGGATGATGATCCTGGTATCCGGGATCCTATATTACAGGGATAAATAATCAGGGGTGTATATTTTCTTAAAATATCATTTTTTTTCTCCTCTTTTTTTATTGTTTTATTTTATTTAATGAATTGGGGAAACTAAATGATTACAGTGGTAAATAAATAAACTTTCTCATTTCCCCCCCCCCCTGTTACCGGATATAACAATACACTAGGATGGTGTACCGTATACAAGAATACATTCGAATTGTTTTCCGGATATAATTATAAACTAATGATGTTTACCTGATGAAGGGTTTCTAGTCCCCCAGACGAGAATTGAGGGGCGGATTGTGAAGGGGGAAGAGGTGGAAGAGGTGATCCCCCTGCAGGAGCTGTTGTGGCAGTTGGTCGTCCAGAAAAATAGTTTCTTATACTTCCAAACACACTTCGTATCCCCTTAAAACAAACAAGTGATGATTAGTTTTTAACACCATTTTATCTTATATGCAGACGTGTGTACTGTTCAAAATGCTATTTAAATCATTTTAAGACTCCTTACATATCTGGCATACACACTGAGTTCTAAAAAAACTTCAAACCCGATATGATCAATGAGGCCCAAGCGGACAAGGGTAAGTGGCTGGAGCTCGATCCTGGAGATCAACGTATCATTGCCGTTAGGATATGATCCTTTGACTCTAGGTTGATTGGTAATAATAATAATACATATTTATAAAAAGATCAAATATGGATCAAATACGGATCAAAGAAGGATCAACTACGAATCAAATATGGATTAATTAAGGATCAAATATGTACCAAATAAGGCTCTAATATGGATCAACTACGAATCAAATATGGCTTAATTAAGGATCAAATATGGAACAAATATGGATTAATTAAGGATCAAATATGGATTAAATAATGCTCAAATATTGATTAAATAAGGCTCAAAAATGGATCAAATAAGGCTCAAATGCAGATCAAAAACCGATTAAAAATGGATGCCGAACTCTACCTGAATATGCTTTTCACTGTTTCTAAGTGTAGAGTTAATATCATCAAGTCTCTGTTCTGTTCTAAACAAAATTAACATCTTTTATTGAATAATTTTAAAAACTTTTTTTTTAAAGCGAGAATTCGAATATTTGTACAAAGGAAGGATGCAAAATAAACCCATATTTAAAGGGACTGATATAAAATTTATTAAGTAAATTCTAGTGACTCTAAATTCATAGTTTGGCATGTCTTTGAATCTTAAAATCTATTTCTGGTTAAAAACGCATGAGATACAGGGGTGTATATTTTTAAGAATAAACCCCCGCCTTTTACCGTAACCCAAACAATCAAAATATAAAACGTATCCAATGTAAGAAAAAATCTAATTACAAAATAAGTTTGTTCCCCAGTTTGAGAGTCTTGGATCTGATGGATCTAATTTGTGAGATATTTTATTTAAATTCCCGGATTTTGTTCTTCACAAAAATTCTACAAAATTTTCTCAACTCGAATACAACTTATGTTTAATTCAGTGCTTAGGATCCGGATCCGTTGGATCCGCAAGATTTTGGCTTCCTGGATCCGGATCCGGATCTGCAAAAATATGCGGATCCACGGATCCGGATCCAAGGGGTAAAATATCAACCAAAAACTGCAAAAAACTTTTTTAACTCCTAAAACCAAAATCTAAACTTTAAAAAAAAAAAGAGATTATAAAAGTTTCCTCATTTCTGAATGGTTCATCAAGTTTTAGAATAAAAATAAAACAAAAAATTAAAAAAATTATGTTTTGTTAAAAAAATTCAGTAAATCTTAAAATAATGACCTGGATCCGGATCCAGATCCATTTTTTTCCAGTGCGGATCCAGGATCCGGATCCGCATCAAAATTAAATGGATCCTTAGCAGTTAAATTTAATTACTTTTCAATAAGTTTGGTTTGGTATGTTTTGTATATTGATATGTTTTGTATTTTGATATGTTTTGTTTTGATATGTTTGATAGTTGGATATATTCTGTTTTGATATGTTTTGATAATTGTTAAAATTTTATAGGTTTTGTTTTGATAGGTAGTGCATGGTCTAATCTATTAAAATTCTTCAATGACCTTCACAACACTTATAAGTCCGAACTAGAAGTTAAGCCCGTGTCCGAATTAAATGAATTTGAGCCGCGTCTTAAATCCGCCAAAAACCGGTTTCAATTAAGCATTGGCTTAAATCTTGAAACATTGAATAAAATTTTAGGCGAAACCAACCATATTTGAGCCGTGGCTTAAATTTGAGCCGACGCTCAAATTCTTTAAATTCGGCCTCCGATACATAAATCCATACAACTCAAGATAAATATATTCACCTCTATTTCGCGACGTCTCATTTGTAACTCTTGTCTTTGAGCTTCAAGATTCTGAAGAAATATAAATATTAGCAAAGGTTTGTGTCTGAAAAAATGTGCCTAATACGTGTGACAAAATTTAACATACACCTGATCCTGAGTGCTTCCTTGATTACCAAACGGATTTCCTTGGTTCCCAAACTGATTTCCCTGATTTCCAAACTGATTTCCAAATTGATTTCCCAGGTTTCTTTGATTTCCAAACTGATTTGAATTTTGATTGGTCTGAGGTAGCATGTATCCTAAAATATTAAAATAAATACTCAAATCATTAATAGAGAATAATTTTTTAGTATTCATATGTTAGACCCCCTCTTCTGCAACTAATTTAAGTAAAATAGCGTTTTAAAGAAAGTTTAAGAAAAATAGCCCGCTGCCCAAGAGGCACCCTTGTAGCAAAAATCGTGTAAACATGATATTCTGTAAACTTGCAGTACGTTGTACATTATTAATGATTTAATGTTGTAACTTAGACATAATGACATTATTCATTGAAACTGCATTTCAATTGATACTTATCATGATTAGCTTAAACCATGCGACATACTTAAATTATGCTATGAAACATGTGATAAGATAGGTTAACTGCGTTAAGTCTATTCTCTCTAATCTTATAAATATGTACCTTAAACTTTAACTGTGCGATAAATACGAAATACAATGTTCTTTATCATGTGATATAGATAACATCGTAGGAATTGTAACTATGTCAATTCCTGTTACATAAGATATTAAAAAAAGTTAGTTCTTTAAAGTAACTCCTTACTGTTTACTGCGTGAGAGTAGACCTGAAACCCTGAGGCTTGTATTCAGGTGGATCGGCCCCTTTGATTTGGGATCGATACCTAGCTTGTTGATTGCTAGACGGAAACCCTGTTTGGTTGAACAGGTCCGATTGTCCCCATCATTTGGGATCGATATATAGCTAGTTGTATAGCTAGGCTTGTGTCCCTGTGTGGCATTTAGAGCATTGGATCGTCCCCATCATTTGGGATCGATATATAGCTAGTTGTATAGCTAGGCTTGTGTCCCTCTGTAGCATTCATAGCACTGAAACCCTACGTTGATATAGACAGGTCGGATTGCCCCCATCAATTGGGATCGATATGTAGCTTGTTGTATACCTAGGCTTATGGATCCCTGTGTGGCATTTAGAGCATTGGATCGTCCCCATCATTTGGGATCGATACAGAAAGCTTATTGATAGCTACGCTTGTATCCCTGTTTGGCATTTAGAGCCTGGGATTCAGTCCTGTTTGAGTTTGATCGCGGACGGATTGTACCTGGATAGATACGTTCAAGAACTTGTTATGGAGTAGGTGTTTACTACGATACTATACACTCTAACCTGTACTAGTCAAGGAGCTCTCGTTAATACGTTAATCGAACCAAATAATAGTTTGAAATATATATTTATCAGGTAATGTTTGAAATATATATTTATCAGGTAATGTTTGAAATATATATTTATCAGGTAATGTTTGAAATATATATTTATCAGGTAATGTTTGAAATATATATTTATCAGNGTGTCTTTACTTAACCTAACCCGTGGTCGCAGCGCTCGGCCCCCTAAAAATCGTTCACTATGACAGACTCCTTAAATCAATATGTTTGTATTTAATGTATGCATTTTTGAACAATTTAAATAGATTTTAATAATAAAAAATCTTGTTTAATTATGTTTTAATTATTTTAGTTAGACTGATACAACCACTGGACCGTACCGAAGCCATTGTTTATTAACAATCAACACCTGCTGTTCCAGATTTAGGATGTCTTAAGAATTCATCGTCGTCGATTTCTTCTTCGTAAAAGTTTCCCCTAGAACTAGTCATTTTTCTAAAATGAAACATTACGAATTTGCGCTGTATGCCATACGTATTCTACGTATTGAATATTTAGAGTTTGTAGATCACGTATAACCAATTGATCAATAAAAACGTTAAAATACGAAAATAAAAAGTTAAAATACTAAAATTATCTAAAAGATGTTTAATTAATACTTCAAGAACAAAAATTGCAATTAATTGTTTCAATTTCAGGTTTCAGTCAAAAATCAAATACCGCGTAATTTTCTTACAACATGTCAATATCTAAAATATTTTTATTTCGAGGACGACATTTTTAAGAGGAACAGAACTAAGACGATAAGTTTTAAGCGCAAATATTCCAAGAAATGCCGCAGAAGCTTTCTTCTTTACATCAAGCCGCTTGTAAATAACAAATATGGCCGACAAATAAAATCCGCAAGATAAACATAAGTGAAATAACACAATTTTCTTAACTACAAAATCCGGTGAAATGATTCTGAAATAAAATGATAGACGACGTTGTAACCCTGGACAGTGATGAGGAGGGAGGGAAGCCAGACTCAACCCCCACAGCTGCCGCCTCCGGTATATTACATATTACGAATATTTAGGCTTCAAATACTTTAATCCTTTAATCCATCAATTGAATCCAACATTTGAACTGTAAGATCTTAAATTTGAGACCTTGAAACATTAAAATTAGTAAATATCCTCTTTCTCGTCCTTAATAATGGTCTATCTTATGTTTCTGTCAAAGACTAAACTCAGCTTAGGTAAATACATGGATCTCATGCAACTAGTCCTCACATAATTAATTTATCCTGTTTTAAACACATTTCGCCAACAATTCAAAACGAGATAATACTGGTTACTTAATGATGAATCGCCTCATCTTTTTATTTTTCCAATTTTTGTATTTTTTGGCAATTCCATCTGATCCCCGTCACAGTTTCTGCTTCTGATCTTTCCTACATATCCTAAATTGACCTTTATATTAAAACCTAATGCTTTAGCTTCAGAAAATATACAAAAAGGTCTTTTATTGTAAGCATTTTTTCGTTCTATAGTGGTCTATCAATTATGCTCATGTTTAAAACACCTCTCGTTAGCATTTCAAAACGAGATTCCATTGGCTACTTAATGGTGTATCACCTTATTCTTCTCTTTTTTTGTACGTTACTCGCATCTTGTTTTTTATATTTTTATATTTTTTCGGATCACCTTCTTAGATTATGCCTTTTGCTACTTGTTGCAAATCGGCCTTTATTTGATCTGAAAAGTGAAAATGTATTTCTTGGTCCCTACGAGCCCTCATTAAATGTTGTCAGCTTACTTTATTTTACTGTCATTACTGAATTTACTTTACTTTAAAATTAAAACATGAAAATTGTGTCATTTGTCAAATATTTACGATGTCCACATAAATAAATGATGCTCTATGTAAAATATTAAAATCAAAATGTACGTGTCTTTGATATATATGTAAAGTTTACTTTGTTGTTTTTGTATTTTTTGATCAATAAAAAGATTTGAATAATAATAATAACATATTACGAATTCGCGCTAAATGGTTATTTAGAAAAGTTTCTAATAATTCGATAATTTTAGGATCTGATGTTGTTATAGAGTACAATCACAGCGATTATGCAGATCTTCTCACACCTGCCCCCGCCATTAAACCAAGTAAGCTGAAAATAGTGATGCTTATATGTTTGAGTCATCAATCGTATAGTTTAAGATTTTAAAATTTTAATTTTTTAGGAATGATTCCGACATCGGTGATTAAATCTGCGCCACCGACCGTGACGAAGCTACCGAAGCGTCCTGGTTCGATGCCACCTTTTGCTCTTTTTTCTCAGGTAGGTTTTCTTTACGATGATGGATTCTGGGTTCATAGTTATAAACACTGTAACGAGTGTTTTATTTGTACGTCTAAAATTATGAAGATTTTTGTTCAAAAAGTTGTTTTGTACGCCATGGCTAAAATTTGGACCTATTTTTTACATTTCTGCAATAACGTTGCTCAACAGGAAATGGCTGATGAGACATGTAAAATCTTTTTAAAACGATCTGAAAGTGAGAGTGGAAGAGGTTTTATCTTCTATCTGTGTTTCCATGTATTCTCTCTAACTATCTATCTACCCACTATCTATACTAATTCATTTATCTATTTATCTAGGAAATGAGAACTAAGTTACAGACAGAGGAACCTGATATAGGGTTTGGGGACCTTGGCCGGAGGCTTGGAGAGATGTGGCACAGTCTCAAGGAGGAGGAGAAGGAAGACTACAGGTTCAGATGTGGAAAATTTTTAATCAATCATGTTGGAATCACTAGCATTGTATCAGTAGCTCTAAAATCACTAGAATTGAAATCACTAGCATTGATTCAGTAGCATTAAAATCATTTAACGTGAAATTACTGGCATTGAATTCACCAGTATCAAAATACTAGTATTTAAATCACTGACATTAGAGTCGCTAGCATTGAAATAACTACCATTGAAATCACTAGGATCAAGATCACCAATTTCTTGTATTGTAGGAAGAGAGCTAGAGAGGTGGCTGATGCGAAGATGAAAAGTTGGAAGGAGACGGTCAACTCTATACCTAAACATAAACAGATGCAGATGGAACAGAACCAACAACCCAGGTAGGGAGAGGGGAGGGGTCGGACTGGGGTTTATATTTTCTTGAAAGATCTCATTTCCCCTTCCTATAAATGCCCCCCCTCCCTCTCAGCCCTTATCTTTACAGGTTCGTTTGGGTGAAGTTGAAATAAAATTTGGTTAAAAGTAAGAAACAAAGTTCATATTTCATATTTTTATTTAACTACAAAGCATGAGATAATACAAATAAAAAAATTACAATTTACTATGTAGTTTGGGCCCGCCTAACCAGAGTAGGTTGTTTTAATTGGTTGGCCCACTTTAAACGAATGAGAATTGCCGATAAAAACAATGTACATTGTACATTTTAAACATAAGAATGATAATAAATCAGGTAAAAGGTGAGGGAGTAAAAATAAAAGGGAGGATACTCAGCGTAAGGGTTGGAACAGAGGGTAACATAAGTTATTATTACGCAATCTTCTGTTCTGAACAGAGAAGAAAATATACTGGGGAACAACCTGACCTCCAGTTTTCAGATATCAGGTAATGAATAAGCTTCAACCCCCTCCTTCAAGGGACAAGTCCTTGTAATTTACATTTACAGAGAGACATGTTCGCTGAACAACGGTGTTCTTGAAACTTCTATCCGATCGTCTTTTTTCTTGTTTGAAAAGTGTCAAATCTCTCAATTTTCTGATTTTCTCTTTGGCCAAAATCTTACAAAGAAGCCACGATTGACTAGGATTTTAGCTAGACAATGTTGGGTTAGGTTAGGTTTGTCTGGTCATGGATTTCTCAGTCCATGACCAGACAATGGCTTAATTTAATTCTACCGTTTTGAGTGCAACATGCTTCTCTAAAAATGTAAATTCACCCAAATAGATTCTAGTACAATAGATGGCAAAGTAGAATTTGTACTCTCAGTACAGCTGTATTCTAACGTCACAAGTGTCAACCCAATTTTTGTGTCTGACAAATTATTAAAAATGTGATAATTTTATAATAAAGTGCTAATCTTACAGTAAAATAAGTGCAACTTTATGTTTCCTTTATTTTCTGTTTTTACGCTTTTTTATTGAATCTTGGAAAACATGTCAACTAATGTGAGAAAATTTCGTTTTCCTTGTTATAGTTGACACTTGTGACGTCGTGTATAATTGGGCCATTTCTCTGTTGCCATCTATTGTACTTGATAATCTATTTCGATTCACCTGNAAGGGTTTAGATTTTACCTATCATTTATTATTTCTTCAGAAATAATTGTAAATAAATAAACAAATAACGGTATTATAGGAGAATACTAATTTTCCATAATAAAACAATCAAACTTAAGTTGTAATACTTTTTTAGACAGTTTTTTGTTTGTTTTAACTCCATGACTGTCTTTTACTTTTATTTATGAATTTTTTTATTATTTTTATTTTTTCACTCTTTTTCTCAATCTTTTAATCTATTTTATTTTGTTAGTAAAAAAGTTGCTGAAGACTGGAGATTGAGTTCAGAGATACTTAAAAAGGATTATGAGGAGAAAGCTCAGAGGTAATTAAATAAGATAATTCAAATTGTTTTTATTTTATTATTAACTGTTTGAGGATGCTACTAGTTTGTAATTTCAGATAACCTCCTTCATTTAATTTTTTCATTACAAGGATACCCTTTGTTCTGATCGATAATATGGAAGATATATTGTTCTGATCGATAATATGGAAGATATATTGTTCTGATCGATAATATGGAAGATATATTGTTCTGATNCCTTGAACTAAAGAATCCCCTTGAACTAAAGAATCCTCTTGAACTAACGAATCCCCTTGAACTAAAGAATCCCCCTGAACTAAAGAATCCCCCTGAACTAAAGAATCCCCTTAACTAAAGAATCCCATTGAACTAAAGAATCCTCTTGAACTAAAGAATCCCCTTGAACTAAAGAATCCCCTTGTACTAAAGAATCCCCTTGAACTAAAGAATCCTCTTGAACTAAAGAATCCCCTTGAACTAAAGAATCGCCTTGAACTAAAGAATCGCCTTGAACTAAAGAATTCTCTTGAACTAAAGAATCTCCTTAAACTTAAGAATCCCCTTGAACTAAAGAATCCCCTTGACCTAAAGAATCCCCTTGAACTAAAGAATCCTCTTGAACTTAAGAATCCCCTTGAACTAAAGAATCCTCTTGAACCAAAGAATCCCCTTGAACTAAAGAATCCTCTTGAACTAAAGAATCCCTTTGAACTAAAGAATCCCCTTGAACTAAAGAATCCCTTGAACTAAAGAATCCCTTGAACTAAAGAATCCCCTTGAACCAAAATTAGTTGATTGATTGATCAATGTGTAAAATCAGCGACATTATGTTAAAGATGCTGATGCGACAGCAACAGCAGCAACAACATCAGCGATTGCAGCAGCAACAGCATCAACAACAGCGCTACTCTCAACAACAGCAGCAATACAGACAACAACAACAGCAGCAGCAACAGCAGTCACAGTACAGACAAATACTTCCCAACTATGGCCAGCAGCAGCAGAGACCGAGACCTTATAATAAAGGTGATAAAAAAGGGACTGTTAACGCAATTCTTAGTCAACCTTGCACAGATTTCCATTTTCAGGAGCTTTTTCATAAGCAAATTCTAAATTTACATTTCTTATTTATGCGGGCCCAAATTTTAAATGATAAACAATGCCAAAGGCAACATGAAATAAAAAGAAATTTAAAATAAAATATGTGATATTTTAACTTTTTTATTGTGTGAGCTTAACGTTTAAAGTTTTAAGAATTAAATCAAATGCTAATTCATAAATAAAAATAAACTTTGTCCGAGTTTGAGCTCGAAAATAATATTTTTACATTTAATACAATCTGTGGCCACAGATTGAAACAACAGAAAAGATTCATTGATTTATTATTAAAAGTAGCTGAAGTGCCCGGCGTTGCCCGTGGAATTTAAGAAACACTTAAAAAAAAATTGAAGAAGGAAATTTCCATTTTTTTAGTTTATTTTACCCCCCGGGGTACCGATGAGTTTCCTCAAATAATTTCAGACATTCGGTCCAGCCGTTTGGCCAACCATATCTAACATATATAGATACATACATACAAATATGTGAGCGAAGAGTTTTATTATACAGATCAAAACCTAGAAAATCAAAATATTTTAATAAAATAGTATTTTTATATTTCAGGGAATCAGACCGGATTAGTAATATCATCAGTATCCAGTTTATCCAGCTCAAGGGACACAAGATTCAGCTATTATCTCCCCCCCCCCCTCCGCCACCCTTTTAAAATCTATTTTTATCTAAATTCTAAAATTTTATGGAAATTTGATTGCAATGGTCTTTTAGAGCAATTCGAGCACCTTTTATAAAAGCAATTAAAACTTTTATCTGAAGCTTTTTAAAGTTGCGAGTATTATTAATTCTTCAAGAAATACATTGTCTTATGCAGTGAGGACCAAAAATTGGAATAGGAAGACGACATTATAGAGATAATTAAAGTGTATTAGATGTTGTTACATAGCAAATAGTTTACTAGTAACTTATTAAGTCACGTATTGAATTAAATGGGCCTGTTTACATTGCACAATTCATTGGACTATTTAAAAACATAACTTGAGCCGGATAATCGTCTTCCTATTCCGGAATTCTCTGGTTTTTATAATTGTTTTTGGTTCCAGTTTAAAGTTTTGTTAAATGGTTTGTGTTTTCTAGTCAGGAGATGAGTGGGTTAAAGTTACCCAGTGGGATAACTATACATAGAGCAGAACCAGAGATAAACCTACCTTCAAGTATCACAATATCCAGGTACCCATCTCACAAAACTTTTCATGCTTGTTCGTTCATAAACCCCCTTGCAGTTTGTGAAATTTTTAAATAAGGCTGTAACTAACGAAGGAAGGATATCGTTGTGAATGTTTAATGGTTTGGTTTTCGTGAAAATAATTGTCTGAAATTAAATTGGTTCGAGTCTGAACTTGATAATCTCGTCGTTTACTTAAAGGACTTAAGTTTAGCACCAAGGATATGTAGTCGGCTTGATCAGAGGCCGAATTTAAAGAATTTGAAGCGGCGGCTTAAATTTAAGCCGCGGCTCAAATATGGTTGGTTTCACTTAAAATTGTATTCAATGTTTCAAGATTTAAGCCGGCGCTCTATTAAAACCGGTTTTTGGCGGATTTGAGACGCGGCTCAATTTCATTAAATTCGGACACAGGTTCCCGAAATCCCAACATCTGGTACGCTGACATCCAGGGTTCAATAATAGAACATGCCCTAAGCGATTTTTAAAACAGACGACCCCAGGCGTGATTGTACACGTATCGTGAGGGGAAGTACAGAAGTTTTCGATTATTAATAATAATATTGTAAAAATTCGCCAAAAGATGTTCAAAAATATTGCGCTTCACTTTTGACCTCAGGATTTCATCATTGTAAACTATAGAAACGTTTCCTCATAAATTGTATTTAAGGACAAGAAAATGTTAAATGTGAACACACGATAGGAATTAATTCAAAAATAAGACAAATGTTCACCAAAATCATTAAAAATCCAGAGAAACATGTTTATTTTCATGTTTAGAGTTGAACCCGAGATTCAGATAGTTGAAGAGAACCTTGTTCCTCAACAGTCCTCCCGAGTTCATCATAATATACAGGTAAACACTAATATTTTAAGATGAGGGGGGAGGAGGTGGTGATGATTAATGGATATCTACGAGGAAATTTTCCTACTTAATTCGTATTCTTAACCCATAAATTCTTTCAATTGAATCAAAATATATATTATGTTCCTTATTCAGTGATAAAATCTTTTTAAAACCATGCAAAACATCTTGGTATTTACTGGCATACCTCAATCAGAGCAGGGAGCTGTCGGACAATCCCTGGCTTCTTGATTTGATTTGACTGGGCTTAAAAACTATTTTAGGTCTAGGAAAGGACTATTAAAATACAAAATTAACACTTTGCTGCAGAAGATTTCTTGTAATTTTGTCTACAGTCTCCCTTTAAGAAGAAGATTTCTTGTAATTATGTTTACAGTCTCCCTTTAAGAAAAAGATTTCTTGTAATTACGTCAACAGTCTACCTTTAAGAAGAAGATTTCTTGTAATTATGTCTACAGTCTACCTTTAAGAATAAAATTTCTTGTAATTACGTCTTCAGTCTCCCTTTAAGAAGAAGATTTCTTGTAATTGTTCTACAGTCTCCTTTTAAGAAGAAGATTTCTTGTAATTATGTCTAAATTCTACCTTTAAGAATAAAATTTCTTGTAAATACGTCTTCAGTCTCCCTTTAAGAAGAAGATTTCTTGTAAATGTTCTACAGTCTCCCTTTAAGAAGAAGATTTCTTGTAATTATGTCTACAGTATATCTTTAAGAAAAAGATTTCTTGTAATTCCGTCTTCAGTCTCCCTTTAAGAAGAAGATTTCTTGTAATTGTTCTACAGTCTCCCTTTAAGAAGAAGATTTCTTGTAATTACGTCTACACTAGTGTACACTCTACAGTCCTTCTAAGCTCCAAGCTGAAATTTAAATATTTAGGCCTCTAGTCAGCAGCAGCAGCAGAGGATGTCTAGAGGTCGACCTGTCCTTTCATCCAGAGGTTCTCCCAGGATGAGTAAGTGCTCTATTGTTGGATTGATTGTTTGATTCAATTAATTTATTCATTGTTGATAAATGTTTGTTTTTTGGACGGAATGATTTTATTTAATAAGAAACTGATATTATTTGCTGTTAATGGGATTGTCATTGCATATATCTATTATTAATTTTTTGATAAATTAATTATTTGAGGATTTTTTTAACGTTTGATAATTGCATTGTTCATTGATTGATTGATTGTCTGGTTGATTTATTGATTTTATCTTACATTTCAGTACTTTCCCATACTGTGCCGAGTACTAACAAGGGTTAATAAGTACAAATGAATTTAAGTAACGATCAATCAGACCATGGCCATGGGGTCGAAAGGAGTTAATTTCTGGTGTTTAAAAAAATTACAACAAATTCAGACTGTAGATACAGGTCACGGTAGGCTTCAGCTACAAGGTGTCCCACATCATATTAGATCGTGTTTAGTTCGAAATTGAAATTTTAGGGACTAATTAGCAAATTAAAAGCAAACAAAGAATCATTTTTAAACAATTTAAAAGGTTTTTATAAAAGATTTCTTGCAGAAAATTCTATGTTTTTTCGAGTATAATGTGCGTATTATGGCGTTAAAGCTTGGAGATAATCTAATATGATATGGGACGCTCTGTACTTTTACTCAGGTATAACAGTATCATTCACATGTCATGCTAACTCTGTGTTCCTCGTACTCCGAAGAAGGTAGAGGATGGAAGGGAGGGGTGGCCGATGGGTACCTGGTAGCATTCGTGTTATTAGAATGACATAATAGATAGATAGATTAGTGAACTATCACTTGCAATTTTGTCTAGGTGCTGTAAACCCTGCTACGTTAGCCCCGTTTGACCGGCTGTGCCGGGTCTGCTCTGTTCCTAACAATGTTATTTTCCGGGTTCAAGATAAACCTGAGGTTTTAACCAGGCTAGAGGCAGTTCTCAATCTCAAGATTGATATCAAGGTTACAGTATATTATGATTAAGGGGTTTCGCTTGTCGCGGGGGGGAAGTTGCGCATTGCGAAAAAATTTTTAAATAGAATCTTAAGAGGAAAGTAAAATTCATTCTTTTCTGTTTTATTTTATACTAATTTGTTTTAATACTTTTTTTAAACCATGTCTGCACAATGTCATATACATTTCAACCAAATGAACCGCAGAAATTTTCTAATTAATTGATTTTCTAATTAATTAGTATTCTAACTAATTAATTTTCTAATTAATTAGTTTTCCAATTTATTATTTTTCTAATTCTTTAGTATTCGATAGAAGTAGTTTTTTAATTAATTATTTTTAATACATTAGTTTTCTAATTTATTAGTTTTCTAATTTATTAGTTTTCTAATTTATTAGTTTTCTAAGTAATTAGTATTCTAATTTATTAGTTTTCTAATTTATTAGTTTTCTAACTTATTAGTTTTCTAACTAATTAGTATTCTAATTTATTAGTTTTCTATTTTATTAGTTTTCTAACTTATTAGTTTTCTAAGTAATTAGTATTCTAATTAGTTAGATTTTATGTGAAGTTCTTTAAATAATTAAGTTTTTAATTAATTGATTATTTTTACAATTAATGAATAAATAAATGAATAAATGAATTAATGAATGAATGAATGAATGAATGGATGAATCAATGAATAAATAAATGGATGAATTAATGAATCAATGAATGATTTAATCAATGAATAAATGAATGGTTGAATTTCTAGGTCGACGAGGAGGAGGGGTATCCTAGTGTAATCTGTAGAAAATGTTGTAATCTTGTGGAAACATTCTACCAGTTTGAGTAGGTTGCATTTAAAATAACAACAGGGGTGTGAACTGTGAATATTTTTCTGAGATATCACTTTTTTTCTCTAGAAGTGAGGTTTGATTTTTTATGGTTTTTATTCGCTGAAGTGGGGAAATAAACAAAATATGAAAAAAGTATAAAAATGTCCAATTTTACATTTTTCCCAAAAATCAGGTTAATTCTAAAAAATATACCCCTCTGGAACAACAATACTGATAATACATGCAACCAATGCTCCACCAAGGAAAAAATGTTTGTATTCAAACACATATTTGAAGTGATAATAAATGAGAATTCATAAAGGCCTTTCTATTGATGAAATGTTTTATTCAATTTTTGATGGAATTTATCCACGAAAAAGTAACTTTTTTCACCCTGCTATTGAAATTTCAAATTTCATACATAATTTGTCTCAGGTATAGGAATGTATCACTATCACGCGGGCGTTAAACATTGTGTGATAGCCTGCATGCATGTTAATGCTCTGCACCCTGAGGGCGGTCTGGGGGTTCCATGTCGGGTTCCCTTTAAGATCTTATGATTATTTATTTATTTATTTATCGACCTGCTTTTAAATAATTTGAGTAAACTGAACAAAACAATATATGTTTTTGAAATGGGTAACATGCGTGCGAGAAAGTTTTTGGTGTGATTTTTAATTTTTTCTAGTTTGTTTTCGCACTTAATAATACCCATTATAATGGCATAAATAGATATTATGAAGTAACTACACTAAACTTGTACCAGTCTGATGGTTGGGTTTCTAGTATCACTAGAGGCTTCAGGCGTGTCATAATAGATGAATATTTAGATGGAAGTTTGTTGAAATACAAAAAAAGGCGATGTTAATATTTTTCTATTTCAGTAAACAGATCAAATCCGGACAGGAAGCCTTGAAACAGAAAGTAGAGGAAAGAAGAAAAGCGAAAGAAGCGCAGGTTTAAATTTATATTGATTTACAGTGTTATGATATTTCTCTACTTGATTGATTGATTGATTTTTTAAAATGACTTTTTCTCTTTTGTATCAGACAAGTAAAAATAAACCACTGAATAGATGCTTAGAATTGTAGTACTCCAAAATTCTACAGTTGTAGCCTGAAAAGTATTGTTTGGTTCTTTTTCGTTTCCTTATTAGTTACAAGTGTAAGAAACTTGTTCTGTTAATTTAGATTCTTAAATCTACTTAATAATTCGAAATGTCAGAATCTGAAGCATTTTATTGTAAAATGCAGTTAATTGAGACGTGTTCTTTCCATCAGACGAAGGTTTTTTTTAACCCTTTGAAATGTCTAGATTTATAAAAGGATTAATTTTTATAATTTGGTTTAGATGCTGGGTACAGAAGAGATCACGATAGAACACAATCCTACATCTCCAGATTCTATAGGAGTTGATCCTTTAGAAACTAGTGGAGTACAGGTAGGAGTTGATCCCTTAGAAACTAGTGGAGTACAGGTAGGAGTTGATTCTTCAGAAACTAGTGGAGTACAGGTAGGAGTTAATCCCTAGGAAACTAGTGGTGTACAGGTAGGCGTTGATCCCTTAGAAACTAGTGGTGTTCAATTAGGAGTTAATTCTTCAGAAACTAGTGGAGTACAGGTAGGAGTTGATCCCCTCGAAACTAGTGGAGTATAGGTAAGAGTTGATCCTTTAGAAACTAGTGGAGTACAGGTAGAAATTTGAGAAACTAGTGGAGTACAGGTAGGAGTTGATCCTTTAGAAACTAGTGGAGTACAGGTAGGAGTTGATCCCTTAGAAACTAGTGGAGTACAGGTACTAGTTAATCCGTTAGAAACTAGTGGAGTACAGGTAGGAGTTGATCCTTTAGAAACTAGTGGAGTACAGGTAGAAGTTGATCCTTTAGAAACTAGTGAAGTACAGGTAGAAATTTGAGAAACTAGTGGAGTACAGGTAGGAGTTGATCCTTTAGAAACTAGTGGAGTACAGGTAGAAATTTGAGAAACTAGTGGAGTACAGGTAGGAATTAATTCTTCAGAAACTCAGAAACTAGTGGAGTACAGGTAGGAGTTGATTCTTCAGAAACTAGTGGAGTACAGGTATGAGTTGATCCCTTAGAAACTAGTGGTGTACAGGAAGGAGTTGATTCTTTAGAAACTAGTGGAGTACAGGTAGGAGTTGATTCTTCAGAAACTAGTGGTGTATAGGTAGAAGTTGATTCTTCAGAAACTAGTGGAGTACAGGTAGGAGTTGATTCTTTAGAAACTAGTGGAGTAATTGATTGGTTTCTTTTTACTAGAAATATTAAGCTATCTAACTTTCTATTTATCCATATATCTATCTATCTAGGCTTCTGTGTTTGTTGATCTACCTGATACCAAGGTTGGAAATATCAAGATTAAACAGGAGTCTCTTAAACATAAGGTAAAGATGGAAGCTTTGCTTTAGTTTAAGAGTTGGGATTCATTGATTTCTTGATTTGCTCCATGTTTTTCCTATCTTGGATTCTCGGATTTATTGATTAGTCCATGTGTTTTCCTATCTTGGATTCTCGGATTTATTGATTGGTCCATGTGTTTCCCATCTTGGATTATTTGATTTATTGATCAGTCCATGTGTTTTCCCATCTTGGATTCTCGGATTTATTGATTGGTCCATGTGTTTTCCCATCTTGGATTCTTGGATTTATTGATTAGTCCATGTGTTTTCCCATCTTGGATTCTTGGATTTATTGATAAGTCCATGTGTTTTCCCATCTTGGATTCTCGGATTTATTGATAAGTCCATGTGTTTTCCCATCTTGAATTATTTGATTTACTGATTAGTCCATGTAGTTTCTCATCTTGGATTCTTGGATTTATTGATAAGTCCATGTGTTTTCCCATCTTGAATTATTTGATTTATTGATTAGTCCATGTGTTTTCCCATCTTGAATTATTTGATTTATTGATTAGTCCATGTGTAGTTTCCCATCTTGGATTCTTGGATTTATTGATTGGTCCATGTGTAGTTTCCCATCTTGGATTCTTGGATTTATTAATTAGTCCACGTGTTTTCCTATCTTGGATTCTCGTATTTATTGATAAGTCCATGTTTTTTCCTATCTTGAATTATTTGATTTATTGATTAGTCCATGTGTTTTCCTATCTTGAATTATTTAATTTATTGATTAGTCCATGTGTTTTCCCATCTTGAATTATTTGATTTATTGATTGGTCCTTGTGTTTTCCTATTTTGATTTATTTGATTTATTGATTGGTCCATGTGTTTTCCTATCTTGAATTATTTAATTTATTGATTAGTCCATGTGTTTTCCCATCTTGAATTATTTGATTTATTGATTGGTCCATGTGTTTTCCTATCTTGAATTATTTGATTTATTGATTAGCCCATGTGTTTTCCCATCTTGGATTAGATAATTGGCGATCGAAGGCAGACGGCATTCCACTTAGGTGCACGTTGACAATTTCTTAAAAGAATTAATTAGATTGTTGTTGATCAGACAAATGGATTAATTGATTGATTGAATTACAGAGAATTGGGCTTTAATATGAGACATTTTATCCCGATGGTCAATGATCTATGATTTCAAATTTTCTGTAAAATTCATAGATTTCCAAAATTTCCGCCTCCCTATCTTAAATTTCTAATTAATATTGATTCTCCGTATTCTAGGACACTACACCCTTTACAACTGTATTTACTGATGCTGTGGATGTAAAAATTAAAATGGAACCAGGGCTAGGGGAGAAGGAAGGAGAGAAGGAAGAGGGAAAGGAGAAGGAGGGAGAGAAGGAGAAAGAGAAGAGTAAGGAAGGAGAGGAGGGAGGATCTCTGTTTGACACCTATCCATTATCCACTACAGAGGATTCAGGTAAACTGGTTTTCCAGGAAATAAGCCAACTAAACTTTGACATTTCAATGGCCTTTGGATGTAAACTCTACGGCGGTGGTTGTCTAGCGACCTGGTTCAAATTTATTAAGTTTGGTCCCAGATCAAATTATTGAAATGCTAGTTGTATTAAATATTAATGAATTATTTTATATTTTAGGATTATTGTTTGATGGGTATCCTTCCTTTCCTTCCAGTTCCTTACCTACAGGTAAGGAAACCGTGCTACACAAACAAATTTTTAATCACATTTTGATGAAAAATCTCATTTTTTTTAACTCTCCGTTTAAGCTGAAATGATAGAAAGATGTTAAACAAGTGATAGAAAATGGGAGAGGGGTCTTGGAAAGCTACGAGAAAGTAGAGACAGATGATTTTCTTCTTAAATTTCCATAAAAAAAATTTTTTATTTGTTGAAGGTGTTGAAGAGCGTCCTGAGATATCTGATTCTGGCGAACTGAGAACCCCTGAACCTGTCTCACCTGAACCAGGATTCCCAGTTATACACGCGGTAACCAGTGCAACGGAGGATACAGAGCAAACCGATCAGAAACCCATCCTTAATCCCCTCATGAATTCACAATCAACAGAGGTGGAATCCAACCTTAATCCCCTCCAGGATTCACAATCCACAGAGGAGGGATCCAACCTTAATCCCCACCAGGATTCACAATCCACAGAGGAGGGATCCAACCTTAATCCCCTCCAGGATTCTCAATCCACAGAGGAGGGATCCAACCTTAATCCCCTCCAGGATTCTCAATTCACAGAGGAGGGATCCAACCTTAATCCCCTCCAGGATTCTCAATCCACAGAGGAGGGATCCAACCTTAAACCCCTCCAAGACAAACAATCAACGGATGAAAACAGAGCGGAACCAAATGCGGAAAATAATAAGAAGACCACAGAAGAAATTAATACTGCTGGTAAAGATGAAGAAGAGGGAAAAGTAATGAAAGAGAACATCGAAAAGTTGAAGAATGGAAATGAAGATAGAACTGATGAACTGGAAAGTAAAGAAGGGAATATGAATGGAGATGAAGAAAAAATGGACACTGATCCAGTGCATGATGAGGATGGTGGGGAGGGTATGAATGGAATAGATGAAGGAGAGAATGGGGAGAATGAAATGGAAAATGATCTTGAAGACCTTGAATCAGATGCTCCTAGTTTCAAGGTACCGCGTTTTAGTAATAAGTCAATTACTCTTTAAACCCCAAGTAGACCCATAGAGTTAACCACAAAGGACGAGACTGTAAAGACGACTCTAAAATAAAAAAAATGACAATCTGAAGCATAATTTTTAGTTTCTGTATTCAATTGATGGTTTACTAAATGATTAAGCACATAAATAAACCAGTTTTGTTCTACAAGAAATACTAAATGCAAGAAAACGGTCTAATTAAATTCCGTACAATTGTTTCTAAAGTCTCATCCTTTGTGGGTAACTCTGTTGTATATTACGTATGTTTCAAGTCAGTAGATTGACCAGAAAGCTGTTACTATTAATTATTATTTTGTTACCAATCCTTTTTACGTTTTTTCATCCTTGATTTAGTAAAGTCACTTCGAGTTTAGAGCGTGGATAGAAGAACCTCCTTATAAGACTGATTTGACCAGACCAGACCAGACCCAGACCCAGACGACCCAGACCCAGACCCAGACCCAGACCCAGACCAGACCTGGACCGGACCGGAATGCTTTCTACAGAATGTATCTTTATGATCGATAATAGAGTGTTTGTTTTCAAGGTCCGTGATCTGAGACAACCAGATGAACAGGATCTGGGAGAGGAATATTATCAGGTAACACAACAAACACACACACACTCACACACACACACCCTATTCTCTATTCTCAGAAGTGGGTTTGGAATTTATGATTTATTTTTGTGATTGTAACAGGATGGAGAGGCTGGGGGTGAAGAGATGCAGATAGACGAAGATGGTCTCGAGGTAGACGGAGATGGTCTTGAGGTAGACGGAGATGGTCTTGAGGTTGACGGAGATGGTCTTGAGGTTGACGGAGATGGTCTTGAGGTTGAAGGAGAGGAGGGAGATCCTTTACTAGAATCTCATGAAGAAGAAGAGTAAGTCCTCTCCTAATTTCGAGTATTGAGTGTTACAATTTATGTATTGGATGTTGTCTTAGTTCTTATTTAAAAGAAGAGCCCTTGTCTCTACTCTTTTAGTTTTAAAGTAAGACATTTCTATGCTTTGATATTGGCTTAACCTAACTTGTATTGGTAAAATACAAAGAAGGTTGATTTGAATGACAAATTGTTTTATCATCTAATTTAAGATCTTAGATAATCTGCCGGGTTATCACAGCCAAAATAAAATTTAATTTGTATTTAGTTTGGATGAATCTGATGATTTTGGAGGATACGATCCTTTGAAACTTGTTGAAATGGAGGCCGGGGGAGAACTCGAGGATCATGAAACAAACGATCAGGAGGAATTGGACGATCATGATGGTTTTGAGAATGAGCAGGACGGATTGGATGATCAAGACTATGACGAGGTGCATGATGAGGAGAATGTGGAAGGGTATGGTGAGCATGATGGACAGGAAGGGGATGATGAAGGCCAGCATGATGGACAGGAAGGGGATGATGAGGAGTATCATGAACAGGAGGAATATTTTGATCCATCTGGAAACCAAGGTAAAATCAACTCCCTTAAAATACAGCATCAATAGTTTCTCCTTTAAAGAAGATTCTCAATAGTGAGTTTTCATTATAACATTCTGGTTTGTGCCTCACATTATAACATTCTGGTTTGTGCCTCACATTATAACATTCTGGTTTGTGCCTCACATTATAACATTCTGGTTTGTGCCTCACATTATAACATTCTGGTTTGTGCCTCACATTATAACATTCTGGTTTGTGCCTCACATTATAACATGCTGGTTTGTGCCTCACGTCCTCTTGAGCACTTCCTGTTCTAGGTAGTAGAAAATATTGATACAATATTTCTTGTTTTCTTTAATTATGAACAAAATAATTTAGATTCCTATTCTGATCCTGATCCAGAAACTGAACGCGAAGAAGAAGAAGAAGCTGGCGCACTTCAAGACGATGACGATGACACCCACCATGCCACAAACGACGAAAATCCTGGAAACAGTTGTCAGCGTCGGACGAGTGAAGAGAATACAGATATGGACGAGGATAGAACAAATACAGAAACTGGAGATGGTGAAAACTCTGAAGTTACAGATAATACTGAGGAAGATGAGCATATAGAGAACCCGGCGAGTACTGCTGATGAAAGTTTAGAATCAGCTACAGAACCAGAGCCCACAGGTACTAAGTTATTATAATTTAATCTTTAAGAGTTTATTTCTGTCTTCAAGAAAGTCTTTTCATGGGTTAATTTAATGATGTTATACATTTGTTTCTTTTATTTAAACAAAATTTCCGGGGCTNATAGCTACACTTGTGTCCCTGTGTGGCATTTAGAGCTTGATTAATAGCTTGCATACTATACAGGGTTACCCACAAAGGATGAAACTTTAATGATGACCAGATTGTAACGGTCTTAATAAAAGAAAATAGCGTAGTTTGTCTTAAATCAAGTCTTGGGAATATAAATTCAATGACTTGGAAAAGGAACAAATGAAGGAAAATAAAATTATTTCTGTGAAATCGTTTCTGAAGCCTTAATATTTCAGTAGTGTTCGTTTTTAAACATATGTTCTCTCAAATTTTAGGAGTCTATACAAATTTGAACATTTAAAAAGTTGAATTTCAAAATTTAGATTAAAACAAACCTTTAATGGGATATTTAGAACATTTTTAAATTTCTCAAATTTAAGTTTAGAAAAACCAAATAAGTTATTGCTCTTCACTACACATTACTGCTTAGGATCCGGAATTAAAATATTGCTCTTCACTACACATCACTGCTTAGGATCTGGAATTAAAATGCTCTTCACTACACATTATTGCTTAGGAATAGGAATTTAGTTATTGCTCTTTACAACACATCACTGCTTAGGATCCGGAATTAAAATATTGCTGTCCACTACACATTACTGCTTAGGATCTGGAATTAAAATTGCTCTTCACTACACATTACTGCTTAGGATCCAGAATTAAGTTATTGCTCTTCACTACACATCACTGCTAAGGATCCGGAATTAAGTTATTACGCTACACTACAAATCACTGCTTAGAATCCGGAATTACGTTATTGCTCTTCACTACACATCACTGCTTAGGATCCGGAATTAAAATATTGCTCTTCACTACACATCACTGCTTAGGATCCGGAATTAAAATATTGCTCTACACTACACATCACTGCTTAGGATCCGGAATTAAAATATTGCTCTTCACTACACATCACTGCTTAGGATCCGGAATTAAAATATTGCTCTTCACTACACATCACTGCTTAGGACCCGGAACTAAAATATTGCTCTTCACTACACATTACTGCTTAGGATCCGGAATTAGATATTGCTCTTCACTACACATCAATGCTTAGGACCCGGAATTAAAATATTGCTCTTCACTACACGTCACTGCTTAGGACCCGGAATTAAAATATTGCTCTTCACTACACATTACTGCTAAGAATCTGGAATTAAGTTCTTGCTCTTCACTTCACATCACTGCTTAGGACCCAGAATTAAAATCTTGCTCTTCACTACACATCACTGCTTAGGATCCGGAATTAAGATATTGCTCTTCACTACACATCACTGCTTAGGACCTGGAATTAAAATATTGCTCTTCACTACACATTACTGCTTAGAATCTGGAATTAAGTTATTGCTCTTCACTTCACATCACTGCTTAGGACCCGGAATTAAAATATTGCTCTTCACTACACATCACTGCTTAGGATCCGGAATTAAGATATTGCTCTTCACTACACATCACTGCTTAGGATCTGGAATTAAAATATTGCTCTTCACTACGCATCACTGCTTAGGACCCGGAATTAAAATATTGCACTTCAGTACACATCACTGCTTAGGATCCGGAATTAAATATTGCTCTTCACTACACATCACTGCTTAGGATCCGGAATTAAAATATTGCTCTTCACTACACATCACTGCTTAGGATCTGGAATTAAGATATTGCTCTTAACAACACATTACTGTTTCGGATTCGGAATTAAGTTATTGCTCTTTACTGCACATCACTGCTTAGAATTCCTTGATCTGGATCAAATTAAAGAAAATAAAACCTGTTTCTCCACATTTCTTAGAGTCAAGAAATGGGACCCTTCCTAATCATTAAATGGGAAAGCGTAAAACAAGACAAAAACCTTTTACAGTAAAACTCAAAGAAATGCTTGTGAGCTGAATCAGGATTTAACACATTTTTACGCTTGTGTTCTTGTGGGGCATTTAGAGCTTGATTAATAGCTTGTATAATAGCTACGCTTGTGTTCTTGTGGGGCATTTAGAGCTTGATTAATAGCTTGTATAATAGCTACGCTTGTGTCCTTGTGGGGCATTTATATCTTGTTATAATCCTGGGAATGTGAACCATATTCATCCCCCCCTACTTGGTCCCCCATCTTGTTAAATTCTTGTGAAAATAAACCGTATTCCCAGCTGGTATTGTTATTTTTTTAGTTATAAATGATCTAAACTAAATAAACCTTTAATTATTCAATAAAATATGATATAAACTACTTTCCTTTTGCACCTAAAGGTTGGAACTTATGCATCCAGAGATCAGAACTTATGCATCTAGAGATCAGAACTTATGCACCCAGAGATTGGAACTTATGAATCCAGAGATCAGAACTTATGCACTCAGAGAACTGAACTTTTGAAACCAGAGTTCGGAACTTGCTCATCCAGAGATCAGAACTTATGCACCCAGAAATCGGAAATTATGCATCCAGAGATCAGAACTTATGCACCCAGAAATCGGAAATTATGCATCCAGAGATCGGAACTAATGAACTCAGAGATTGGAACTTATGCATCCAGAGATCAGAACTTGTTTGTGGAATATCATTAATCTTGATCTTGATTTCCTACGTGGGGACTTTAAATCTAATGATAAATTCTCAATCTCTCAGTCAAAGCAACCCTGCAGGGTTTGACATGATAAAAAAGGAATTAAGCTGACCTGCTTCTGCATCAACTGAAGATCAATGCTTAATCCCAAGATTTACAACAAGAAGTTTTGACTTCACCCAGGAAATATTTTTACTGGCTTTATGTTCCTATGGGGAAGTTGGCGGGTAAATAATTCTGGACTTTATATGTTCGCCATTGGTTTGTCGGGGACTAAAAGTTTGCAGGGCAGATCTCATTTAATATAACATTTTTATATCATAGAAATAAAAATAAAATTAGGCTAATACATTAAGCAGTTGAGTTAACTTATTCAGTTTTTCTTTCTGGAGTTTGATTTCAGTGGTTGTTGTTCAGGAGTTTGTCTTTCAGGAGTTTGTCTTTTAGAAGTTTGTCTTTCAGAAATTTGTCTCTCAGAAATTCGTCTCTCAGAAATTTGTTATTCAGAAATGTGTCTATCAGAAATTGGCCTTTTAGTCTTTTTGTCTTTCAGGAGTTTGTATTGTATTTCAGGTGTTTGTTCTTGATTGTTTTCTGACCTCGGATATTTATTTTATCTTCAAAAATGGTTGTTAAAGAAGAATGATATTGTTTCGCTACTTAGCGAATTCCCTAAAGACCTAATGAAATCTATAAGTACCGAGTGGTGAAATAATTTCTATTTAAATGATTGCTTTCTTTTATAACAGAGATTTGAAACTAAAATGAAATGGTTTAAACAAAAATAAGTTTTGAAATAAAAACGAATACGAATCTAGCTGGAGTCTACCTTCAGGGAAATTTGGCAATACTAGAGGATCTACTCCACCAGACCAACGTGAGAGGCCTAAGAACTAGATGTGCACACCAAGATCAGAATGGAGTTAAAGGTCACGATGTTGCTCTGCAACTCTTTGATGTTATTCAGTCCGTTCCTGGAGCTGGATATGTTCGCAGGGATAAACCAGGGATTATAGATTACGATGTTGCTCATTGGCTGTTGATATCACCAATGTGCAGTTTTAGACCCAGGATAGTTCCAGGTTAGACCCGGGGCTGAGCCGAATCCATATCTACATCTACATCTACGTTCACATCTACATCTAAATCTACACGGCTGCCTATTATGTCGAAGTATCGAGAAACTCAAGGTGAACGATAACTTTTGACACCGTTCCCCTGGGGATTTGTAATATTTTCTGTTGTTATGTTATCAGGATCTTTATTATCTATGTTAGTAATATATCTTATCTATCTAAATGTTGACCCTGACTGGCCATTACGGTCAGTTTGATTTGACCTGTATATGAATAAATATAGTAATAGATTAACCTTTGTGTTATACGGACGAATATAGAGCCTTGAGTTTTGGCTAGAGATAGAGTCAGTGAGACTAGAATTAGACTTTGATTAGAGTAATCTCGGGACCTAGATTTATTACATGTAGGAAGGAAACACAAGAGTATGTAGAAAGTATATTCTGTTAATACCAGAGAAACATAAGAGTATGTAGAAAGTACATTCTGTTAATACCAGAGAAGCATAAGAGTATGTAGGAAGTACATTCTGTTAATACCAAAGAAACACAAGAGTATGTAGAAAGTATATTCTGTTAATATCAGAGAAACACAAGAGTATGTAGAAAGTACATTCTGTTAATACCAGAGAAACACAAGAGTATGTAGAAAGTATATTCTGTTAATACCAGAGAAACACAAGAGTATGTAGAAAGTATATTCTGTTAATATCAGAGAAACATAAGAGTAAGAGCTATAAAGAAAAACAATATAGTTTTTTGAAAACAGTGATAACCAGAAAACTGTAAAATAGGTAGACAGCATTAGCGATAAAAAGATCATTTGATGTTGTTACAAAACAAATAGTTTTACTAGTAAGTTATTAAATCACTTATTAAGTAAAAAGGATCTGTTTACAGTGGAAAATTGCTGTGTCTCATGAGTATTGGCCTATTTTAAGTCATAACTTGAGTCTAAGTATTTCTGTATCACTGTATAATATGCAACTTATACTTATACATACATAAACAAAAAAGGATGTAATTTCTTAGAAACAACCAATAAAGACTGCTTTTTTCATACTTAAACATAATATACTAAAACTTGAGAACTGCAAGGTTAAAGTTGTACCTGTAATTTATATAATAAAACAAGACATTCATATTTATATGTTGCCTGAAGTTTTAAAACTCGATGGATATTAATATAATTTTAATTTCGATTTTAGATACACTCGCTGGCAGCGAAAGGGGCTTGAAAA